AACAGAGAGAGAGAGAGAAACCGAGAACCAAAATAATAAATATTTATGCACTTTATATTATGTACATGACTCGTTATATCTAACAACTATTAATATGACTAGATCATTGAGCACATGCTGAGGAGAGAGTAGGAATGTATTTATATGACCGAATTTCCTTTTCAGTCCGTGGGTTGAGATCATCCCCACATGAAACTTGGATGACTGAAATGACAATGTGCAATATTACAGAAATGACTGTATGAAGGTATGATGAACCTGGGTTTCACTGCAAGCTATCAGTCACATGCATTTAGTATTGTAGACTAAGCCCATAACATGGAAGGTTAGAAGTCTCAGACCTCCTCTACCAGAAGCTCTGTGGGTTTATACATCCTGCCTCACCTTTCCACCTTGGTGGGGTGCTTAGTAATTAATGCTGTCACCACCTATCTTCTGGATGGATGCCTTTACCTGGCATCCTATTCATAACCCTAGTAGAGGAAAGAGATAGGGATCTCACAGCCTCTTTGCCTTCTGGAAAACTGCAGGGGAAAACAGGGATGGGGACAGAAACCTGACAGGACCACTTCCTGGCCCATGTAGCTTTGAGGTGTGGAACTAGAAACAGCAGTCCCCACTCCTCTGGAGAAGCAGGGCAAATTCATATATTCCTCCCCTAAAAATAAGGGGGGAAATGAACTTTAAGCTCAAACATAATCTTGTCATGTAAGAGTATGTAAGACACAGTTGGATGTTCCTGTACTTCCCAGTTTTTCAAATCACCATGTTATATAAGTCCAACATAGAACTGGCAATGGAGAAAACCTCCTCAGAGATTAGCTAGCAGTTGTGATGCCTGCTGAGTAAGGAAGGGAGAGGGCACAAATCAGCACAACCTGTCTAGGGTCTATGGCCAGGTTTGCCTTTCCTTTTGTAACCACAGATAAACTGATCATTGAGCTCATGTTCTACATTCTCATTGGCCTTCTGCTGTTCAGCCATAATGGGAATTATTGTTATGAGAATAAGGCTAGTCATGCCCTTGATACATTGTTTGCATCATTCTTTCTTCCTCTGACATGAATGGGAGAAGATCCAAGGTGTTCACTTCTGCTTTTGTCTAATTGCAGTTTTACTGTTTTTATCTGGAACCATAGGTTGGAAGAGACCTTGGAAATCTTCTAATCCAACCCTCTTCCCATGGCAGAATGCTCAGACCATGCCAGACAAATGGCTGCCCAAACTTTGTTTGAAAACCTTCAGTGATAGAGGACTCATAACTCTAGGGCAGTGTTTCTCAACCTTGGCAACATGAAGATGTATGGACTTCACGTTGCCAAGGTTGAGAAACACTGTTCTAGGGTGATTCTTAATAGCTCTCATGGTCAGGAAATTGCTTCTTATTCTGAGTTTGGATCTCTTTGTGTAAAGCTTCCACACATTGGTTCTTGTCTATCCTCAGGCACTATGGCAAAATCCATACCCTCTTCCCTGTGACAGCTCTTGATGTAGTGGAAGACTGCTATCAAGTCTCCCCTTAGCCTTCTTTTCTTTAGGCTAAACATACCCAGTTCTTTGAACCATCCTTCATAAGATTTAAGCTCCAAGCCCCTCACCATCTTTGTTGCTCTTCTCTGCATTCTTTCCAAGTCCTTGGAATTCTTCTTGTATTGTGGTGACCAAACTTGGACACAGTATTCTAGACCAGTACAGTCTAGAGTGGAGCTATCACTTCTCCTGACCTCAGCATTATACCTCTGTTGATGCAGTCTAAGATTGCATTGGGTCTTTTGGCAGCTGCAGCATGCTATTGGCTTATGTTTGATTTATAACACCAGATCCTTCTCACAAGTACTACTGCTGAGACAGGTACCACCTGTCTTGTACCTGTACATCTGATTTTTTTCTTATCTAAGTGCAGAGCCTTACATTTCTTGTCATTTTGTTGGGAAAAGCTCAATATTCAAGACTATAAAGATCCTTTTGACCCTAATCCTTCTGAAATGTTAGCAGTTCCTACATTACCACCAACTTTGTGTTATCTACAAATCTGCTGAGCATTCCTTCTAACCCCTTATCTAAATCATTTATAAAAATGCTGAAGAGCATTAAGCACAGGAAAGAACCCTGAGGTAACCATTCCATACCTCTCTCCATGTAGACCTAGATCCATTAAGGACCACATGTTGAGTATGGTTGTTCAATCAATTGTGAATCCATCTGGTAGTGGGACTATCCATCCCAGAGTGTTTGATTTTATGAATAAAAAGGCTATGGTCAATTGTTATAAAATGCTTCGCTGAAATCTAGGTACAATATATCCACTCCATTCCCTTGGTATGCTAATCTAGTCAATTGGTCAAAAAGGCAGTAAGATTAGTCTGGCACAGCCTATTTTTAACAAACACATGCTGGCTTCTGGTAATCATCTTGTTCCTTTCTAGGTGTTTGAAAACGTACTCCTTGATTATCTTGTCTAGGTTTTTTCCTATTGATTGGTTTGTAATTTCCTTGGTTTAATTTTTTCCCTTTGTTAAACACTGGGCAATCTTAGCTTTTCTCCAATCTATTGACACCTTGTAGTCCAGGAGTTCACAAAGATGACAGTCTGTGGTTCTGAGATTACATCTGCAAATTCCTTAAGCACCATGGGATGTAATCCCTCCAGCCCTGGCAACAAATTCATTCAAAGCCCCTAGGCATTTTCTTGCCATTTCCCTGCCTATTTTGACCTGCATTTCTCTCATGTCCCCATGGTGCACTTTTTGACTGGTTGCCCACTTTTTTTCCTTTTACAAAAAGACAGATGCAAAACAGGAATTTCGCAGTTCAGCCTTCTCCCTGTTGTCCATCACCATCATGCAATCATCTCCAATCAGCAGACCGACTGTTTTCTAGTCTTATCTGCATATACCCCAATAAACCTTTTTTGTTATTTTTGGTATTTATTGTAAGCCTTGCTCATTCTGAGTCTTAGCCTTCCCGACCCCTTCCTTACAGATTCAGGTTATTTCTTGATATTCTGTCTTTCATATATGCCTTTTTTTCCATTTTTTAAACTTTATGCCAAATTATTATATAGCGTGATACTTATATTCTAATTACAATGATGAGGCAAGGTCAACCAAAAGCATCCTGTATATTTCTGTTGTGGGAAAATACCTCTTCCATACTGGAACTCTCAAAATCTTTCCAGAGTAGGAGAACTAAGCAAAATAAAGCCAGTCACAAGATCCAGGTTATCTAAAACCTGCAGCATGTAAAACTGTTTCCCTATGTCAGGGACCTTGAACATTTATTTTATCTTATCTTTTGCAAAATGAAAGCACAGTTATACGTGCTTCAACATCTCATGCAAATATCTTACTCAGAAACCATATTTTAAGACCTGAAGCCATTAATCATATAAAAGTATGCTTATCCTAAGTCAGTCAGCAGCAGTGTCATTATCACAACATTAAAATAAGTTTCACATCACAAAAGCGATTATAGGTCTCAATCTCACATTCTTTCATTACTGACTTAATTGTTTTCTACAAAAAGGCAGTTATGAAATGATGGAAGGGATACCAGGCAAGGGACAGATGTGAACTAAGAAAATCAGCACAACGAAGAACTGATCATTAGAGAGCATGGAAATAAAGCTTATAAGCTTACACAATAGGCAAGGATAACTTCCCTGGCCTAAGTTGTACTGAGGTCATAATCTGAATATTAACCACATCACTTCATATTGAGGGCACATTCACGTGACTTCTACATGAAACTTCCTTTCCATGTAAAAATGAATGTCTTGGAAAAGAAAACTATTGTGATCAGCTAGCAGTTGATGTGTGCAGGGCTTTTCTTCTTGATCCAGCAGTATTCAGTTATGGAGATTCCTAGCTGCAGTCTGAAGTGATATTAGCTGTATTTATCACTTCCTTGAAACCAAAGCCTCTGGTACCTCATGGACCCATGGATGATGAGATAGCTTTATGAGGTAAGATTGAAAAATGCCACAGGGTTTTCTCCACCATAACTTGCAATATGACTTACAAAGTTAAAAACTTAAACTGAATAAGCTATAGTATGAATACCTGCTAAAATTTGTCTAATGTCTCAATTAAAACTTAGTGAAGGAATGATTTAATTTTATTTCAATAGAAAATGTAGTCAGTAATGAGCAGGGGAATGACTTAATATTAGTTCTTTCTTGTGACACAATCAAATGTTTTCCTGTTCATTTATATTTGGATGGGAGAAAACCCAGTGGGTGGATTGTGCATGTACATAGATATGTGTGGGTAATCTATGAAAATCATGTGTTATTTTTCTAGGTTGAAAGAGAGATGAGGTATATGGGGAATTGTTCGTGTTTTTCAAATAATCTAATCTTATCAGAGAAGGTGCTTGTATATTTCCAGTTGGTTGAAAGAGCATAAGCCAATAGTTTCCTATCCTTTTAAGTCACTGTAGCCCATTTAGGCCAGAAAAGTATTTCCTCAGGAAAGTCATGAGATGAGATTATGGCATGACAAGTTACACCCTGGCATTTGCTACCTCAGACCCATCTTAGACAGTTCCCCTTCTTACTTCCAAAGACTAGCTGTGTTTGTCATCAGCAGGAAAAACAACTAGGTCTTATAGCATCAGTTGCACACCATGATTATGCCTCAGCTTTCATGGATCTCAGTCCGCTTCATCAGAGGTTGGGGCATCATTCTGAGCTGCAGTGCACTGCTGCAGCTCCAGCAATATCTGAGAGTCCCCATTCCCCAACTTGAGGGGACATCGAGGGACAGAAGCTTCAGGAGGCTGTGGTGAGTCAGAGGACTTTGAAATCTCAGTGTGCATGAGGTTTTCATTCGTACAAATGTGAACACACTCCATTGGAAAATAATGCTTAAAACAGGGATGCTTCAGCTGCAAATAACCTTCTGGTCGTATTCTTTGTCTGTTTCAAACACAGCAACAGTAGCAGTACTCTAGACAGTCAAATACCGTTATAACACCCATAACTCTTCTTCTTCTTTCAGAAATCCAAGAACATGATAGCCAAGTGAAAGCCATAAAGGACCTCCTACAGAGATTGCCCAGGCCAAACTATGACACCATGAAAATATTGTTTGCACATCTACAAAA